TTTCGAAAGCTACGAACCATAAAAATGAAACTGTTCAAATTTTCCCTCACTGTTATGAAGATCTTTTCGTTGTATAATATAGTGACGACCGTAACTTTCTGTCGATATTCATTTTGTTTATTTTAGGTGAGTTGATACGAAAGAAATGGAAGAACATTAGAGATAGATTTGCGAGGGAATTGCAAGAAAGGAAAGGAAAGTCTGGGGATGGAGCAAGAACAAAAGCTCCGTATGTGTATACAAAGCATTTACAATTTTTAAAAGATATTTTGACACCAAAACAAACCATAAATTCTTTAGAACAAATTTCAAATACCGAACCAATAATATCTGAACAAGAACCTGGACCTTCTATGACCAACCCTCCACAAACAGAATGGAAGAGACTTGGGAAGAAAAGACTGTATCCTTTTGAGGACAAATTAATAAATTCGTTGGAAACTGTTCAGAAAAAAATGATGGAAGCAAAATCTACACCTCCAGATGATAATGACGACAACCGGCATTTCGTCCTGTCTTTGCAACCAAGTCTTTCAGCGTTACCAAGACACCTAAATACACTTTGCAGAATAGAATTATTGCAAGTCATGTCCAAGTACGAAACATACGGTCATTCACGTCAAAATCAATTACAAACAATACCCAGTTTCACGCAAAGTCAATTTAGCAATATGCAACAACACCATCAACAACAACCTCAAGTTCCAGTTCCATCGCCATCTCCAGCAAGTTCCTATATATCAACTTTTAGTACTGAAGAAGACTCATTCCCATACTAGGTTGTTAATATTATAATAAATATATTTTTGAATAAAAAGCTTGAGTAAATATGATTTTTTTTCTTGCTTACCTAAGAGTAATGACTAACTTTTCTTCAGGAGGAATACTACACCTCATACGAGTATTTGTTTTAGTAATATTTCCCTTTATAGTATTTAATAATTCATCAAAAGTAGTCATTGACATCCTCAAATAATTGAAAAATTTGTCTTCGTCACTTTTTAGTTCCGCAAATAAGGTTTGAAACTGACCTTTCTTTTCTCTTTCCATTACAATGGGATGCACCCACATTCTACGATTTTTTTTCTTTTTTCGTTTCCAAAGCACATATAGCATTGACAAATAAATAATATGATTTAAATAATCATTGTAATCATCCATCTTTGAATAACCGTTATACTTAACAGAAAACCGAGCGAATATTGCAACTGGTAAAAACCGCAATGTGTGCCAAATAGTCGCGGCAGCCGACTCGGCTGCCGATTCGGCGAAAACCGCCGTGTCTGTCATCGCCCTTACATCGAAGTAAACTATATAACCAATTTAGTTTAAACAATTTTGTATTTAGCTATCCTTCCCGATTTAATAGCGTTGTATAAAATTTTGTATTTATCCAATTCTAAGGACCTAAATTATATGAAAAAAATAGACTGTGGCCTCAAGTGAATTAGTACTTCCGGTTGACATATTTGATCCAAAAGTTCACAAAGTCTTTAGCATATAGTCCTATAGCCACATACCAAGTTTCAAAAAATTATCTCAACCCAAACTGCGTTAAAATATTTTTGTTCGGGTTTTTTCGAATTTAGACCACTGTTTTGGATGTGCAAACATCAACACGGGCATAAACGTCCGTCTGTAAGGGCCCAAAGATAACCTTTGAAAACAGGCGTCTATACTGATATTACCCCCAGTATTACCCCTTAAGGATGGACTTTAGCTGTCAAAACTCGTAACATGTATGGAGATTACCTATTCAGTGGATGAGGCGCAAATCAGTTCATTTTTAATTTTATGTAATGTTGGATGCATAACTGACTATTTCAATTTATTTGAAAATGCGAATATTTTGAAGGCGCGATATTAGTCGCGGCGCCTGGCTTTCGGCGCCGCGATGGCGATGACTTGCCGATCACAAACACATTGTTGTGGTACTACCCCTTTACGTAGTACTGCTCACGTAATATTTATGTTTATAATAATAGGAATATAATAAGTTTACAATATAATAATGTAGGTATCAAAAGTAATGATTCTGTAACCAAAAACCAAACAACCACCAGAGACATGTGTGAATAAACATATCAGGGGACGGAAACAGATGGGAACAACCCCTAATACTCTTTGTCTCTGTGTATATCAAGAAACAGATGGAAACATACTTAGTTATATGATATTTTCCGTGGAAAGCATAGTTGTAAAAACAGAGTTCACTAGGAACAGTCGTTATATAGGTCGAGTTCACTAGGAACAGTGGTTACGTCGAAAAGTACACTTCACTAAGAGCAGTCGAAAAGTTAAGTCAGTCACATTAAGTCAGTCGTTTCTATTAGATCGAGTCGATCAGTTAGTCTTAGAACAAATTGTTACCTGCCGTCATCGTCGTCTCATAAATAAAATTAAACTAAAATCAAGGACAGAAGGAAAGTTGTTTAATTTAATAAATTGCCCTTCACAACGAAGAAATAAATATATTCGTAAATATCGACGTTACATCTGAGTAAGAAATACACAACATCAGTGGCGGCGGTACACAACAAGAGTTTATTGACGACATTTGCAAATTTCCTTGCTCTTTGTTTTAATTTTTCAGTTTTTGCCGACAGGGAGAAAACAAAAACGATAGCTGTTTGGAGTTTTCGGCATTAGAAGTTTCTCGAAAAACGAAATCATAACATGTAAACTATTTTTTGTACTCATAGCATCTAGATACCTATTTCCCGCACAGAGAGGACGTGCGGGAAACGCGTTTTCCCGCACAAATGCTTTGTTTACCGCAACTAACAGGAATATTTAATGACCAAATGTGCATGTTTATAAGAAAAGGTTAATAAGAACGTTTTATACATTCGTGTGCAGATAACACAGTTTTAAAATATTTAAACAAATCTATAAAAATCAATTTGCAATCTATAAAATCAATGTTGACGTTTTGAATTTCGGTTGATTTTTTCCTGACAAAAACCCCACATGCAACTCATATCATCACACAGGGACGTTTTATTCGTTACAAAAAATATTGTACAATACTCATGCGGAAAGGGTTTTTCCAGCATTCGCACGCAAATGCAGAACTCACTCTCTTCGGTCGTTCGTTCTGCAAACTAGCGTGCTCATCTAGCATCTAGCGAGCCTTTCCGCATTTGTATCGTAAATAACTATTTTTTCTATTTCTTTTAGTTTCGGAGATAGCCTATGCGGACAACATAATTGGGACACCCTGTACATTTAAAGTAACCAAAAATATCTTTTCTCTGTGACCTTAAATTGACTTTTCTCACACAACCAATTCAAACTGAGAAATATGCAGCCAATAAATAACATATCTTGTCACGTGACACGCATTAAGATGGATATGGCTTGCTATAATTCCATATGATACAAAATACGACCATGATTTAGTAGCTAAATTTTATATTTTATAGCTATATTTTTTTTATGAATTATTCTATAGTACTATGAATCATGCACTAGACATAGAGGTGGATCACACTGAACAACCAGAAGCAGTAAATGGTTATCGTATTGTAGATCTACCATACGTGCTGCAGTAGGCTAAATCACTACAATATACCCATTCTAAAATTTGTACATGTGGATACCTCCGACCAGTATCAGAAGAACTTAATGATCTCGGTAGTACTATCACATTCGGTTGCAATATTTGCGATCGACTGTATAAATACAGTACTGAAGACCCAACTAAACAGAAAATTAACAGATTAACGGTTTGGGGTACTCTTATGTGTGGAAGTACTCACAACCAAACAGCAGAACTTCTATTAGCTATGAATATACCTCCTTTAAATGGAAATAAATTTATTGACATTGAAAATGAGTTAGGAAATCACATAAAAGCCGATGCCTTGCGGTCTATGGAGAAAGCAGGGAAAGCAGAAAAAGAAGTAGCTCTAGTAAAAGGACAAACAGACGATGATGGTGTTCCTTGGACTAACGTTTATTTGGATGGTGGTTAGAGCAAGCGTTCGTACGGCCATAATTATAATGCTTCGTGAGGTAAGTGTTTTCCAATACATATCTATATTTTTGCACAAGTAGCCTCATAATTGAATTTATCGTTCGCTCCAGCGGCCTAGAAATGTCAAAAATTATGAAAAAATAGCGTTTATTCTATTTTTGAACCCCTACCCGAAAATTAAAGCAACAATTATAAAATTAATAACATAATAGCAAGTAGAGAACATATTATTAATCCATTAATTTCTAGTTTTTAAACACTTGTGAAAATAATTTTATGTATACCTGGCCTGACAACTTCTCGGCCTTGGTATACAACCAATTATTAAAGCGTATAATATACAGGGTATTACCAATCGGCTGCTATTGTTGGAAACCACACGAAAAAAGTGTTATTCATTGGTGTTCGCAACAAGTATTGCTCCGTTTGTACAAAGGCATCAAATAAAGAAGTTACTGCACCGAGGCACGTGTGTTTTAAGAACTGGAGCGGCTCTTCTTCTTCTATGAAAGCCAATATTGTTGAAGCCATACTATGCAATGAGAAATTGTAACATAGTATCAGATAAATCAGCCACGAATGACCCAACTTCAAAGGAGTGGGATACGATATCACATTAACGGTGTGTGAATTGATGTTAATTATTGTGGTGCAGTTTGTCTTTTACTTAGTTAATAATTTCAGGTGCTTTGGAAATTGTCCTAAGGAGAGCCCATAAAATTATTAAAAATGAAAATAATAATCCTGCAGAAACATTTATGGCCCTGTTATGTAAGTTTAACTGCGGAAAACGGTTAAATTCATCCAACATAGGCTCGTTCGAATTAAGAGCAAATATATCTGTTTTGAGATATAATGAAGGTTTGTGTTTCTTATTCAGTATTTTATCTGTTTTGCATTGTAATGCAGGGTTAGCCAGTGAAACGGGAAGATTGGAGATGGCCTTGACAGCTGGAATGTGAGTGGTAGGGGTATTGGCGGCCGGCTCCTTTCTAAATGCATGTTCCGCCATTTTGTTACGATGGATCGTTGGACTGGTGAACATCGCGGCTACGCGGTTAAAGCGTATTATACGAATGGTGAGAGTTTGGTGAAAACGCGACGTACTTTTCGACGCCGTTTCAATATACCGCGTAACAGGCCGGTTCCTTCGGATAACGCCATTCGTTCGTGGATAAACAACCTTGAACAAACAGGATCAACGTCTAAAAAACGAGGTGGGAGTGCAAAAACCGTTCGAACCCCTGAAAACATCGCTGCTGTTCAACAGGCAATGCTCAGAAGTCCACGCCGATCTGCCAAACAACATGCTCTCCGTCTTGGAATAAGTAACACTTCGGTGAGAAGGATTCTTCGTCAAGATTTACATTTCCACCCATACAAAATACAGATTGTGCAATCTCTCAAACCAAGTGACTATCAGAAACGATTACAATTTTGTGAGCAAATGGCCAGAAGACTTGAAGAAAATGACGACCAAATAAACCATTTATGGATGAGCGATAAGGCGCATTTCCACCTATCTGGTTTTGTTAATAAACAAAACTTCAGATACTGGTCAGAGAAAAACTCTGGCGTACTTCATGAAACGCCTCTTCATGTTTCAAAGGTGACGGTTTGGTGCGCCATGTCGGCAAGAGGAATAATAGGCCCATTTTTTTTTCGAGGATGTCAATGGAAGTGCTGTGACTGTTAACTCTGTGCGTTACGTTGAAATGATCCAGAACTTTCTTACGCCAGAACTCGCCCGTTTTCCTGCGAATGAACACAGAATATTCCAACAAGATGGGGCAACAAGCCACACCGCTAGAGTTGCTATGAATGCTGTGAATGCTTTATTTCCAAGCGGCGTCATTTCCCGAAACGGGGATATCCCTTGGCCCCCTCGCTCTCCAGATTTGTCAACCTGCGACTTTTTTTTATGGGGTTTCTTAAAAACAAGAGTTTTTCAGAACGATCCACCCAGAACTATCCCAGCCCTAAAACAACGAATTCGGGACGAAATTGAAGGAATACCAGTCAATATGCTGCAAAATGTCATGGGAAACTTCCAGACCCGGCTGCAGAAGTGCATAGATTCCAATGGAAGACATATGGCAGATGTTATCTTCAAAAAATAAAATTTTCTTTTATAGTACAGTAAACGGCTATCTTTGTACTCTATGTTTATAACCATTAAATTAAAAAAATAAATTTTCTTAAAGAATTAGTTACTTTAAGTATGAAGGCTTTCACGGCCGGAGTGAATTAAACTAAGATTAGAACTAAAACTAGAACTAACACTAGAAACTTTCGGGTTTTGCCGTGCGTCTTTTAATAAAAGGTTTGACGTTTCGGATGCCATGTTGCAACCTTCTTCAGAAACTGGTTCGAAGTGACGAGATCAAAAAATCGGTAACTATATATAAGTCGGAAAAACTAATTAATAATCAGTTAACGCTAATTACAAACTAATTAATAACTAATTGCGTCGCGTCCGGTGTGAGGCGGGAAGAGGTCTTCGTGTTCACCACCATCTTCCATGTTCTGCTAAGCTCCCAGCCATCCTCTCTGTTGACGTTATTTTTATGTCGGTGAATCTCTATGGCTTCTCTTGTCAGTCTTTGGTAGTATCTGTTGTCCCTAGCCAGCACCTTTGTTTGTTCGAAGTCTATTCGGTGCCCCTCTGCATGNAAAATGCCAACTTAATGTATCAAATCTGCGCGCATTAAAACAACAAATATAATAAAAAATGTCATTGGCGCCTATTCATCCCAAACATTAATTCAGTTATTAAAAAATAATAAATTTAGTTTAATTATCGATGAAACAACAGACAGAACAACAATGAAACATTTATGCTTGGTTGCAAGATTAATGTTTGATAATAATATTCAAGATTGCTTTTTAACCCTTCTTCCAGTAGAAAATGCTCAAGCAGAAGTTTTATTTGAACAAATTATTTCTTTTTTTACTCAAAATAACATTCCCTATACGTCAAATCTCATTGGCTTTGCTGCGGATGGGACTTTCAATATGATGGGGCGGCATAATTCAGTAGCATCAAGATTCATTAAGGCAGTTCCCAATATTTTTATTTTAAAATGCATTTGTCATAGTTTTGCATTGTGTGCGTCAAATGCATGTAGTAAACTACCAAATTTTGTAGAAGCTATCACTCGAGATATTCACAATTATTTCAGCAATAGTCCCAAATGGATTTCAGAATTCAAAGCATTCCAAGACTTCTGTAATATTAAAGGCCATAAAATTTTGCACCCGTGTCAGACTCGTTGGCTATCTCCCACATAACTGGCGCCTCTAGCGACTTGCGTTTATAACCGATTTATATTTCAATATAAATTATTGCTTAAAAACAAAAATATGAATTAAAAAAAAATTAACTCTATTAAACTTCAGGCTTACGATTTTTACAACTTAAATGTGGCCCACTCTGTTTTTAACAACTCAAGCCAATAGATGGCGCTGATGAACGGATTCTACCGCTATTTAAGGCAAGATTTTACCGCTGTGAGAAAAATTTATCTGACAACACTGTCTTCTACGACTGAAGATATCGTCGGTATACAAGAGAAAGTGACTAAGTCCACAGATAGTGGTTTTGAGTTATTAGTATTCTAATTTTTGCTTCTTATTATAAAATCAATTATTTTACGTGAGATTAGTTTATAATGATTTTTATAAATAATATAGTTTTTAGAATATGTATTTTAAATTAAAAAAGTCTATAATTAATTTAAGCAAATACTAAACCAGTAACTCATTTCAACTGCATAAAATGCATTTCGGTTTGTAATAGTTTCTATGAACAATGCAAATTCTAGAATATGTATTTAAACTTAAAAAAGACTATAATTAAACAAGTAGTAGTAACTAGTTTCAACTTCATATGTCTTCATCACTATATTCATTGTGTGAGGATTCTGGACACTTGTCTTTCAAGGAATTGTCACTCGGTATGTAAAAGTACCAACCATGGTATTCGATCGGAATTACCCCCTTACGGCAAAGTTGAATTAAATCGTTTTTCTTCTTGATCGATATAGGCAAGGGTTCAGTATAACATTTCTTTAACTCAGTTTCTTTTGGAATATTATTACTAGGCCTACCTTTTGCTTTGCCTTTAATGTTAAATATTTTATACTCTTCATCATAGTTGTATCGGAACATTATAAACTTTTTTTTCTCTTTTTCGTACCTTAATTGTTTGATCTTTAACCATTCTATTTTTTCTCCCCCTTCATCCCGAATTGTATTTTGTAGTATAGATGTATTGAGTGCTTTCAAGTCAATAATGTCACGGTAAGTCATTTGCTCTACAATGTAGACATCAGAAGTTTTATTTTTGCCTCTCTTGGATCTTGCTAGTGTCATAATTGTCTTCCAATCATTAAGACAAAATACAGGAATGTATTTTTTTTGCACTTTCAATTGCACTATGCATCGAATCGGCCTCCATGTGCGAGTGACCTTTTTCTAAAAAGTTGTGAGTAATATCTCTATAGGTAACTGGTTGACTACAAACAACAAAAGAGCCGCAATGTATTTATTTCGGGTTTGGCCGCCACATGTGTCGCTAAAGAGTGACACTTCTTTGACAGTATCAGGTAAAGTTTTAAACCACTTCAATAAAGCTGTACCTATTTCACAACTTCCTCGTTGGCCATCAACTTCGGACCAAAGGTAACAATATCCCTTATTTGGTGGAGCTGCTTCATAAATTGCTAAATTGTATGCACATAGCTTTCGACTGTAGTAAAGAGGTGATACATCGGAGCATGGAATTTGCAGGACACTCTGTAAGTCAAAACTTACTGATACAAAAGTTTTGTCATGAATTGCTCTTTGTTTATCTAAATCTTTTGCTCTATTAGCATCATCCCTTCGCTTTATGTGAGAAAGAAATTCTTCTGATTTTTCAATAGATTTAGCTTCTTTAACACACAGCAAACATTGATCTTTCTTTGGTTTGAAGAAAGATAAGTTATACTGCGTACAAAACACCCTCCTATATGTTATTGGAGAAACAAAATCCTTTTGATTGCTGATCTGTAAATCTTTGTACAATTCATACATTTTAAGAATGGATAAGGTAGAGTCAAGATACTTCCGTGTAGTTCCACGTCTACAATAGTGTGATTCCATCACAGGAAATGATTCTATATGTCTCTTCACCTCATTCAAAATGACAGGTTTAGTCTTATTTCCTGGGAAACTTTTTCCTCGTCGATCTTGAATTGAATGATTTATTCCATTTGTGTCTATGTTCATTATAGCAGAATCAACCGGTCCATGACTTATCGACAAGGTTTTTAAGTAAAAATTTTTACAAACTCTTTTCTTTTCTCCGTTTTTAACAAATGTATAAATTTTAGAGACATTTTTTGCAGGTCTACTAGAGTCCCTCGTTCGTTTTCTTCGGCATTCAGAAGTTGCAACGGTATTAATTATAAAGTCCTTTTGTCTGTCATAGGATAGACTGTGATACTGTTTACAGATATCTTGTCGACGATCTGCAGGAAATACTTCTGTACATTTGTAGCGGCAATTGTCACAATTTACATTTCTAGGGGACTTTGCAGGCATTTGTTTGCCTTTAGTATTAATATACGCTAAACACGATTTTTTTAATAACTTGTTTTTCTCACGTTTTGTTCCTTGAGGATTTTTTATTACCCATCTGCGTTTTTCTATAACTTGCGTAGGATTTACTAGTGGTTCATTTATTATTAAAGTCGTAGGGCTTGTATTACTAGAATTAGTAGCAAATTCTACCGGAACATCCCTAAGATCATTAATAATTTCTTGTGCGTTGTTATAATAATTTTTCGAACAACTCATTTTGCCACTAAAATAAGGTATTATTGCATTAGCTTATTATTTTTTAAAACTAAATATCCGAAAAACAAAATTATTGTAATACGTGTAGATAGTTACCAAAGATTAAGTCTAATAACATAGAACACAATTTTATTTTGATTTAAGTAATAATTGTTATGATAAACTGTTTAAACTTCAAACGTCACTCTCTTTTCCCTGTCTGTCACATCATATTTCTGTATCTTTTCTCTCGTTTTTTTTTCGTTAAGCATAATGCATGGCTATCTTAATTTAAGTCAAATCCTAGAGATAAAAATATTGACAAGAAAACATGACTAAGTCCACTTAGTCATTTTCTCCTGTACAGGTTTTTACAAAATGGACTTGGTCATTATGGAATTTGAAATTATAAGCATTATTATGGCATTTTTGGACTTGTTCATTTTTTCCAAAAAGTAATATTGAATTTCCGGTACATGAGCATTGAAACCTAAAAATGTAAAATTTTGGACTTGGTCACATTCTCTTGTATACCGACGATATAGTTTTAAAACAAAAGTTATGCAACCGTACTTATATTATGTAATCATTACATGCTGCCTATTTAATACTATTTTTCGTTTAACTATTTTACAACCAGGTACAGTTATAACAATAAACTAATAATATACGAGTCGAGGGAGATGCTAAAGGGTCTTCAACTGCTTCTAAACTTTAGCATTACCATCTATGATGCATGTTAGATTTCCATGATGCTACTTATACTAGCAATAAATTACAGATCCAAGACCAACTCAATACTTGCAATAGAGATTATGCATATTTCGTAATTTTGTAATAATTCGGGAATTATTTAATGGTTTTTGGGAATGAACCATACGAATTATATATTTCTGGCGTGCAACCTTTTTCTCTTAAGGTCCGTATTCACCAAAAAAGCGAACATGAACAAGCAAGAGCGAGCGAGCATTCGTTACTAATAATCGCTGTGTGAGTACCAGTAAGCGAGCGAGCAAACATTTGTTCGTTATTGTTTTCGAAAGATCGAGCCGGTGTCGGTACATCAAAGAGAAGCCATATTCTGGTTTGTTTGGTGTGGACGAGAATATTTACTCCACTGAGCAGTTGGTGACCGACGGGTGTGATTTGATTTAAAAAAAATTTATATCAATACTTGGATTAACCTATTTCACAATGGAATGGTCTAATGACAACGTGTTAAAATTAATTGAAGGTTATAGGGAACGGCCTATTTTATGGGATCAGTCAAATAATTTTTACAAAAATAAAAATCGAAAGGAGGATTGTTGGACCGAATTAGCTGAAATGTTTGGGACTGATAGCTCCGAAATTAAAAAAAAGATGCAGTCGCTTTTGGCCTCATTTAGGAGGGAAAAACAAAAAATTAAAACCAAATCAGGAATGGGGACAGAGGAAACATATAACACGAAATGGTTTGCGTTTAGTAGTTTACTGTTTTTGAAAGATAAAAATACACCCCATCAAACGCAGGATACAGAAAGTGTGGTACGTAAGTTTTGTCTTTTATTATTTTTTATTTGAGAACGAATTAAAGAACATACAACAGGCCTTTTAAAGATTATGCATAAAAATCTTGCCATGGTACACGTCCTGCAGTTGCAAAATATTCTGCAAACTGTTGTCTATTCTCTTTCGTCACGGATGAGGTCTTACGGGCAACTTTTCTTATGGGGATGAGTGATGATGTTGTTCCGCTGTCTTGCCTCCAGCTACCATTTGCAAGTACTCCCTTAACTTCAGAGTCTAAACTTCCTTGGTGTGTGTAGATATAGCGAGAGAATTTACTTTTTCTTAAATAATTATGCAAATGAACACAAGCTAACACAATTTTTTGAACATTTTGTGGTTCTAGCAAAATCGGCTTTCTCAAAACTCTAACGACTGCTGTCATAATACCGAATACGTTTTCGACTATCCTTCTAGCCCTTGACAATCGATAATTGTATATTCGCTCAATAGAGCCTTTCTCATTAACACCAGGGTATGGTTTCAAAATATGGTTGTGCAGAGGAAATGCATCATCTGCAACAAATACGAAAGGTCGGTATTTGGTAAAACATTGTTTGCAGGTAAATGTAGAGTGCCTTCTTGCAACTTTTTGAAAAATGATGTATTTCTTATAACACCGCCATCTGATATTCTTCCCTGGCACCCAACATCAGCAAAAGTAAAGCAATAATCTGCGTCAACAACAGCCATTAAAACTATACTAAAGGTACTTTTATAATTATAAAATTCACTTCCACTCTTTCTTGGTGCTTGTATTACTACATGTTTACCATCTAGAGCGCCGACACAATTAGGAAAATTCCATAATTTCTCAAACTGCTTTGCAATATGCAACCAATCTTCTTCAGTTTGTGGCAACTGTAAAAAACAAATCGAATTATTTAGGTACACATGCCTTTTGTATTGCAGATAAATGCGGCCGTGGATAATACACGACAAGTAAGCGACAGTGAAGAAACAACAAACAATGATGCAGAGCAAATTGGCACCGGTGATACTGCTGAAGAGAAGGCTGAGGAGTCAATTTTTGCAGACACGGCTAAACGGCGTAAACTATTTGTAGCTCCGAAAAGCACCGCCAAAAAATCAAAAGAAGATCCCCGAGTGACTGAGGCATATTCCGTGCTGTCCAGTTTAAAACAAAAAATGTTTGAAAACCCTAGGGACGACTGTTGTGTGTATGGCGAACATATAGCTTTAAAGCTACGCAGTTATGATACCACGACTCGCGCAATTGTACAGCATCACATGAACAATATCCTTTTTAATGCGGATATGGGGCAATACGCCCAATTTTATCACCACCAGAGGTCATCTCCTGCGTCATCTTATGAAGTACTCTCCCAAAGCACCACACCTTCTCCTGCTCCCTCAGTGCCTTCAGAGAGGGATTTGCACTCCACCTGTGATGCAAGGTCAAATTCCAATCGAGATGGAATAATGTTTCCAACAGAGGAAACTTATGGAAGTACACTTTCAACTTTTTTTTCAAATTACGATAATAATTAAATTGATTCATTAAATTGACAAAGTGTTTCACTTACCTTTACATTATCTTGTAATACCTCAACAATAGCGTTACAAACTTCTGGTACTATTTTTGATATAGCCTGTTTAGATATCTTAAAGGTGTACATGAGAGAAGTGTAGGAATCTCCTGTAGCCAGGGATCGTAGTGTTACGGCTAGTCGCTCTATTGCAGGAATTGCTCTTCGATAGTTCATATCACTTTTCATTATTTTTAATTCAACAAGTTGTAGTAAATTTACAAAATCCTCTCTAGATATTCTGCAGAAATTTTTAAACAGACCATAATCTTCCTCGATTGATAGCTCTCTTAATAAATTACTACCGCTATATGCACTTCTGTTTCTCAACAAAGTTACTTGCCACCACCTCTTCGGCATCTTTTTTTTACGTTTTAACAAATCATGTAATATAATGAATGCCGCACTTGCACAAATTAACTCGTCGTTTTGGTCAACCATATTTGTAGTACCTGCTCGCCACTGCCAATCGATCAACTGCGAACAAGAACATATTCGGGCTGGTGTGGACACAAAGCGAGCATTTATATATATCCGCGAACACGAGCAAACGTTTGCTCATGTTTGTTTTTAACGGTATTATATTAGAAGCCTATGGTGGAAAAAAGTATAAACCGATCGGAATTGTAAACATGAACTGTAGATTTAAACACATTGTTAAAAATATTAGCTTTGTAATAGTAGATATAAAAAGCAGGGGTGTGGAGTCGTCGCAAAAATACAGCGACTCCGACTCCGCATCCGACTCCTAATTTTTTTTTTGCTTCGACTTCGACTCCGACTCCTGATTTTTTTTTTGTTTTAATACGACTCCGACTCCTCAATTTCTTGTTAATTCGACTCCGACTTACTGAATTTTTTATTTAACGGGAAAATTCAAAATTCGGTACATTGAACGGTAAAACGGGCGCCATCCAGTGGTACGTATATTTACTAACGACTCGATAATACAGTTCCGGGCCGGGTTCCGGGGAACCACGGCTCTGTTGGATTAAAAAAAAAACTTCATCTAACCGATTCTAACCTATAAAAAACAACGAACTCTCTTTGGCATCCGTTAACAACTTTCGAACTTCTTCAAATACCATTACCTGATTAATTGGTTATCATATTAATTGGTTGTCGATACCAATCTAATCTATTCCTCTAATATTAAGTATGTGTGTATTTAATATTGACTATTTTATTCATTATTATTTATTATACGATACGCAGAAGTTTGCTAATAAAGAGACACAGTGAATTCTTTATGTTATTACGATTTAACCAATATACTTGATACTTTTATAGCAATGTCGCTAATTTAGGAGATACAGGTTATTCAAGAAAGTATTTGTTTAAATTTATCGTTTGTTGATTGTAAAGGGTGGTACTTTTTTTTATAAACTGAATTAGGGTCTGTGGAAGTTATGCATCTGAAAAAGCATTAAATTTTACATAAAAAGGATGTTTTTATTTAGTTTATTTATTTAGCATAGCAATGATTATGTTTCAAGTATTTATCTTCATTGTTAATTTTTCCTTACTTTTCTGAATGATAAATAATAACAATAAAAATTTTCAAAATTATAAAAAGGAAATATACAAAGTCTTTCAAAACATGTATCTCGGAAAGGGTGCGTTTGTGGAACCACGTTTAATGGGAACTTTTTTTCTTACAATTAGGCAAGAAATCCCACCTTTATTTTCCGACACATGTTTTGAAACACCCTATATTAAAAATACTTTTTTGTACAGCATGTATGTCCAAAGGGCAAAGACGATAGATACATAAATAGATCACTGCTGCTCTGTTGTCCATTAACAACGGACGCGGATCACTCTGTCTAAAGTCTCTCTGTCTCTACATGCATTATGCATTATATAAGTGACATGCATTATGGACGGCGCTAGTGGCGCTACTAGTGAGACTATTTGTGGAACAAAAATAAGCGCGTTTACCACCAATGACTCAAAAAATACTCCTACAAGAGCTTTTAATTTAAAACGTCATATAGACCGTTATCATATCAACTTATCAAAAGCGATTAATGAAAACGAAAATAACATACAAGAAGCAAAGGTTTTAAAACGATCTGCAAGTCCTCTTCAATATCCGATAGCCAAATATTTTAAAAGTGATAAAATAATAATAACAATGACACAAGAAACGTTCAAAGAATGCATAATCAACATGGTTGTACAAAACTCTGTGCCTTTGTCATTCTTTGAAAGTACAGCCTTTTTGCAATTAAATGGAGAAATTGCTAAAAAACTTGATGTACAATTAGGAAGAGAAAATATAAGAACACTAATAATAAACGCAGCAAATATTAAAAAACTATCGCTTAAAAACAAATTGGATTCAAAATTAATACATTTAAAAATGGATGCATGCACTCGACAAAGGACAAATTATTTTGGTATTAACGTGCAATTCGTGGACGATAACGATAAAATATGTATAAATACAATTGCAGTTAAAGATACAAAAGCTCAACATGGTAGTGATTTTTTAAAAACACTAATAATTGACGTTTTACGTGAATATGATATTAAATTCCAACAAATTTTAAGTATTGTGACAGATAATGCTAGCAATATGAAGACGACTATTGATAAATTAAATCTAGATGAATCACTCCAAAATCATAAAAGTAACGAAGACAATGTTGATGACGAAGAAATTGTAATTGATTTAGAAACGGAAGAAACGGAATATATTGCACTTGCTAGTCAACTCAAAATAAATCACATGCGCTATGCTGCCCATACTTTACAGCTCGCAATAAGAGATGGTTTAAAAGAGGTTCATGCAACACAATTGATTGGCAAAATACGAAATATTGTAGTAATATTACGGAATCCGAAAATTGATGGCTTACTTAAACGGAAAGCAGGGAAAGGAGCAATTATTGATCAACCTACACGATGGGGTAGTACATTTGTAATGATTAAGCGTTTTTTGGAGTTGAAACCATTCATATCGGATTTGGTTCATCCTGACATTGTGTTGACCAAAGATATGTGGATCCAAATTATGGAATTGGAAACATTATTACGCCAACCCTACATTGTAACCGTACAATTGCAATCGGCAGATTTAACTCCAGGTGTATTTTTAAAGGAGTGGAAAAATTTAATTTTTAATCTTTCTAAAATTGAAGGACTGATAGCAGAAGGGATTAGAAGTACTATGACTCGCAGAGAAAGTCTTCTGTTAGATAACGATATTCTTCTGGCAGCAATATACATTGATCCTATGTATCGAATATTACATTCAGAGGAACAGATGATAAGAGGTAGAAAATCTTTTTATACAGTTGGATTAAGAATGTTTAATAACAACTTAGAAGATAAGAAAGTTGCTGGGTTATGTGAGTCTCAAACTATTACAGAAACAAAACAAAATCAGAGCATTATTGAAATTCTTGAAAATACAAATGATTTTGAACAATTTTTAGACGACGAAGAAAATAAAAGAAGTGAACCTCATTTAAAATCAGATTTATCTGATAATGATGTTGCATTATTCAAACAAAATTTTGAAAATGCATTAACATTGGTGGAGAGATTTAACAGATATAGTAAATTAACTGTAAAAGAAGCTATTCCAAAATATCCCAAAATAGTTCAAAATAGTGCATGGGCTGTAACCGCTTTGCCACCAACGCAAGTCAGTGTGGAACGGTTATTTTCCGCATTGAAAATAATAAAATCTGATCTGAGAGCATCACTCAAAGATGACATTTTAGAAGCTATACTATTTTTACGAACTAACGTTCAGTAATTTATAATTAATATTTATTTTATTTTGTGTTTAAAAATATTTTATAAAAACATTACATTTAATAAATATTGTGTATCAATTAGTATTTAGTCGTGTGTAATTATGTTTGTATCATTTCTTTTGTTTGTGTTTTTATATCTTCTCTATTTATTTAAGTTAAGAAGTCGAGGTCGGAGTCGGATTAATTATAGTCGACTCCGATTCCGACTCCACAGTCCTAAATTGATTAAAGACGACTCCGACTCCGACACCTCACAAATTCACAGACTCCACGACTCCGAACTCCGACTCTGACTCCACACCCCTGATAAAAAGTAAACCAATGAAACCAATATTAGGATTGGAGGCTTGTGAGTTGTTCGAATTAGTTATGTTAGCTAGTATAAACATAATAGATAAGATTAAATCAAAAGAAATGTTTGTAAAGGCTATTAAGACTCTTTTTCTCGTCGATGTTAATTATCAGAAAATTGTACGACTTCTTCAATATGATAATGTTTATTAACAATTTTATTAATTACAATCTTATATTGACATTTTTCATATTATTTATATTTTTCGTTAATCATTTTTTTTATTATAAAAATACAATAGTCGTAGCCCACTTTTTATAATTAGTTTCTTTTTTAATATTTTGATTCACAACAAGGCATATCCTAAGTTGTTTGAAGGGTTGGGAAGAATTAAATCAAAAGTAGGATTCAAGATTATTCCAGAGGTTCCAAAAGTAATAAGACCACCACGAAGAGTACCATTAGCAATAAGAAAACCATTGAAGAACAAGCTAGATGAACTGTGTAAAAGAGAAATTATACAAGAAGTTGAAGAAAACAATTGTGATTGGGTAAGCAACTTAGTAATTGTTGAAAAACCTGATGGTACAATTAGATTGTGTATTGATCCAATGGATCTAAATAAAGCTATAGTAAGAGAGCATTTCTTAATTCCAACATTAGATGAAATTACTGCTAAATTGTCCGGTAAAAACATATATACTGTATTAGATTTTAAAGATGGATACTATCAGTTGGAATTAAACGATGAATGTAGTAATGTCTGTGCATTCAATACGCCATTTGGAACTTATAAATTTAAAAGATTGCCTTTTGGTTTGGCATGTGCACCGGAAATTTTTCAAAAAATTAATTATAAGCTTTTTGGACAAATAGAAGGTGTTGTGGTTTATTTTGACGATTTGAAATTTTAAATAAAGTAATGAAAATAGCTACTGAAAATGAGATTAAATTCAATAAAAATAAAATTCAGTTTAAACAGACAAATGTGAAATATTTAGGACATCATTTTAATAAAGATGGTATGAGCATCGATAAAGATAAAATAGAAGCGATATCTAAGTTAGACATTCCAAACAATAAAAAACAGTTACAGGGGCTGTTAGGATTAGTGGGATATCATAGGTCTTTTATTCCAAATTTATTAGAATTAACTTCAAATTTAAGAAATTTGCTAAAAAAAGGAGTAGAATTTAAGTGGAGTGACAGACACACAGAAACTTTAAATAAAATAAAAGAAAAAATAACAAATGCTCCAATATTGAAAACATTTGATGAAAAACTGGATATTCAAATTCAAACAGAGGCGTTGCAGGATGGGTTAGGTTGCGTATTGTTACAGGAGAAAAAACCTGTTGCGTTTGCTTCTAGAGCACTGACGGAAGCAGAGAGGA